CACACACACACACACACACACACACACACACACACACACGGTGTACCTGCCATTCAGTGCTCAAACACCTGTCATACACTAATTTCTTTGATCCTATAATTGCACTTTGATGTGGATGTTATCAATCCATTTCTCAGATGAGGAAGCTGAGGCTCAAGGAGGTTAATCAACTTGCCCCAAGTCTCACAGCTAATGGAGAAGCCTGGATAGTCTGCTTCCTTGAACTCTTTCTTTTGACCAATCTGCCAATGAGATGACCCTTTCTCATCGTCATCCGGCAGCATCCAGACCTTCTGGGAAAGAGAAACATTTAAGAGTCTTACAAGTGTGTAAAGAGAATCCTAAGATGTACAGGTTTCTTCTAAGTGCATATTGTTATGTGCCATTGAGTTGCCTGTGACTCATAGCGACCCAATATACATAAGCTCTGACCCCTGCCCTGTCCTGAACCAATCTCATCGTCTCCCATTTCTCCAGTCACTGAGTCAACCTTCTCATCCTGGGTCTCCCTCTCCTGCCCTGTCCCTCCACCCTTCCACACACTAGCCCATTCCCACCCACCATTAGCCTTGTTGCTGTTCAACAGGAAAGGGGTGGGCTAGGGTGGGACAGGGAGGGATGAAGCAGGTGGTAACAAGTGGCTGGTCTGCAGGTGGGCTCTGTGGGTGTGTTTGCACCAGCTGGACTGTCCTCAGAGCAGGTGTGAGACAGCCTCAGTTGGGGGTTGTTGAACTTGGCACTAGGGGGTGAGGATTAACCACAGCAGCTCAGGCTACTTCTCACTTCCCTGATCACCTCCTGTCACCCCTTAATAAATGTTAATGAACCCTATCCTTCTCCCCCACCACCTCATTCCAGTCCAGGAAGAAAGTTCATACTTTAGGTAAACTGAGCCTCGGGTCATATTGAAAGAATCTCCGTCTGGTTTCCACATGCCTAAACTTTTCAATATGTGTCCTCAGTTGATAGTGGAAGTTGATGGCATCGGTGATGACATCATTTCCTTTTCTATAAAAAAGGAACCTGAAGCCAGAGAAGTCAAAAGAACTTGCCGTAAGTCACTCACTCTTCATTACTTCTTTCCTACTTCAATCTACCTATTAAGCAACGTCTGGCTAATTCTTTAGGGAGAGGCCCTCTCAGTTTCCCTTCCAGTACACAGGGTGGAGATGAAATTCAGAGTCTACGCCTAGTACAGGCTAACAGTTCTTGTGGTGCAAGCAGTTAGCAAACTCATTTGCTAATTAGAAGTTTCAAGTTTGTGCTCACTCAGAAGAACTTTGGAAGAAAGGTCTGGTGATCCATTTCCCAAAACTCAGCCACTGAAAACTGTGTGGAGTTCAGTTCTACTCCAACACACGGAGGACTGCCCTCAGTCAACTGACTCAACAGCATCTAGATGATGGCGATGGGCCTAGAACACCCTCCATGCTGCCTCTGCACGGGAGCCCATCACTGGCCTTGCCTTTGAGCCAGAGGGGAGAAAAGAAAGCCAGGCCTGCAGGTGCAGACTGGAAAGAAATGGCTAGCAGGGAGCAAAAGCTGTCTCCCCCATGGAACAAGCAACCAGGCCATGCACTGGAGCCCCCTGGCACCAGTCCCCTGGCTGAGCCCCAAGGCCAGGCTTGACTGCTGGCATCTGTTACTATGGATACCCAGGCTGGCTGAGGGCTGCCCAATGACAGCACGCACTTCCCCCACTGATAGAAGCCAAGCTGTCTTGTTCAGAGGCCGTGAATGTCTCCCAATGCCCACTGGTCAAGTGGTCCAGGTCTCTCTAAATCAAACTTCTAGTCTTTATTACCTTCCTTGCCTTGACTGCCCTCTGTATTGTCGCTGACACCTCTACTCTAATTCCAAGGCCTGAGCGACCAGCTGCACTTGCCTCTGATCTCAGGTAGTGGGTAGAGGATGTCAGAAGAAGAACTGATGCCCTTGAGCTGTGGTGTTGGAGAAGAGCACTGAACAACCCATGGACAATCAAGAGAACAAACAGATAGGGCTTGGAGAAGATGAAGAGGCTTTGCCTCACATACTTTGGGCATGTTGCTAGGAGGGGATATTCCTTGGAGAGAGATGTGATGCTTGGAAAGGTGGAGGGTTGGCAAAGAAGAGGAAAATCTTTGACCAGGTGGACTGACATGGTGACTGCTGCAATGGGCTCTAGTGTGTCAGGAAGTGTGAAGATGGCACAGGATAGAAGAGTTCAGATCTGTTGTTTCTAGAGTCACTGAGGGTCATACTTGACTTGATGGCACCACAGATACCAACATGAGCTAAAGCAGGGAGAGGGATGCAAGTTCCTTTGGAGGACAGCGAGGACAGCACTAGGAGTTTGGACACCTGAAGCCTTGTCCCACCAGTGCCATTACACTGTGAGACGTTGAGTGGACCCTCTTTGGGACAATGAAGGAAGGAGGTCAAACCACACGATTAATTTAATGTCTCTTCCAGTTTTGATGTTCTCTGAGCTTGACTCCAAAATCTCCAGTCACTTGCACAGTGGTTAGCACCTAGAGAGGGCAGCGCTGGGGCTGGGGCCCTGGAGGTGCCGCATTGTTTGTGCGAATGGAGGAGGGGTGGCAGACGGCTTTGTGGATTGATCTAGCCCAGGAAGGTGAGGAGGCATCTCTTCAGGTAAATAAATCCACAAGGACA